ACAAGCAAATCCAGTTGAAATGTCTAAGGAAAATTATTCCTGTGTTTAAATCAGAGAAGGTCAAATGGTGGCCTGTGGACCAGATCCAAAGCCTGAGGAAAGTTCATTTGGCCCCAGTTAAATTTATGACAAAGAGTTTGGCCATTGTTTCTCTTGTATAAAAAAGAAAAGGTGTTTTAGCATGATTGTTTCTAAGCATTGTCCTCAATGCAAGCTTGATTATATTCCCGAAATTTGCAAGTCCAAGTTTCGTGCTAAATGCCTACCCTTAGTTCACCCAGCTATGTGGTTCCAAATTTGGAGATGAGGTGACCTTGTTTTACCACTTCTTACCTCTGCAGACAACATTTCTGATGCCTTAGGCCAGGCACCCCCATACTCAGTCCTCCAGATGTTTTGGGACTACAATTCCCATCATCCCTGACCACTGGTCCTGTTAGCTAGGGATGGTGGGAGTTGTAGTCCCAAAACATCTGGAGGGTCGAGTTCAGGGGTGCCTGCCTTAGGCCATGCTTTTTCTATGGCTCAACAGCACAGCCTACAAGCACTAGCTAGGATTTAGTGTCTAATCTGTGTGACTGGCTTTCTCATAAGTATGACAGAGTTTTGGTAGAAAGGCTACCTATCTTTCTATTAGATGTTTCCCTTGTTGACCTCATAGTAACCCTGAGGTGAGGTTGGTTGAAATCAGCGCTTGAAATGAATTAGTTCAAAAATCTCTGAACGACACCTGAAAGTTGTTTTCACGATTCCTGGGTGAACTAAGTTCATTTTGGGTTTGAATTTTGACTAATTGCTAGTTCAGCTTCAGCTTCATTCCTTTACCCAACTACACTCCCCCCCCAAAAAAAGAATTAAAAGCTTTCATTAAAAAATAATAATAATTTAATCAGACATCCATAAACAAAGTTAGTAAGCAAAACATGGAGGCAACATTTTTGGTCTTATTAGGCAGTTAGAGAGGTATTGATGTTGCTAAGAATACTTTGTGGCTTAATCATGGTTGCTAATAAATCTAAAGGAAAGAATGTGAGGCATTTCCTTATCTTCCCTGCTGATGAGATTCACTCTCATCCAACAAGAATGGCTTACAGCAGTGATGGCCAAACTTGGCCCTCCAGCTGTTTTGGGACTACAATTCCCATCATCCTAGTGGTCAGGGATGATGGGAATTGTAGTCCCAAAACAGCTGGAGGGCCAAGTTTGGCCATCACTGGCTTACAGTGAGAAGGGCAGGTGTAAGAAAACAGTGAATGTTGCCTTCTGCCTTTAACAACTGTGTGACTTGCACAAATTTAAATTGTAACCTTCTGAATGCTGACTTTGTTTTGCAGAGGAAATTGGGTGAACTTGGAATGAACTGGTTCATTTTGTGAAAGGGTGAACTTGATCTTGAACTAGTTCCTTTTGGAGAGGATAAACTAGAACTTCCCAAGCACTGTTTGAGATGCAGGGCAAACTCTCAGGAATTATATGTCAACTGAAAGCTTTCATGGCCCCAGTTTGCAAATGTTTTATTAAGGGCTGCAAAATGAAATGAACCTGAGAAAACAAAAACCCTGTGACAAATACAGTGATGGTGCAGGATCATAATTAAACATAAAAACCACTGTCCAATCAAGAGTGTGACCTATAAAAAGAGATGTTAAGTGAAACCTTTCAGAAATTTAGAAGTTAGGCAACACTTGTATCAGAAACAACCAGAATTATATTCATCAAGTTGTCTATTATGCAATACAGATAGGGAGAATAGGGAGGGGGCATAAAAAAGAACCCCAAAATTGTTTAAAATTGTAGGCATAAGGTCTGCATTTATGTTCAGTCTCAAGATGAACACTGCAGACTTAATTAGATTAGTCTCTGCTAGATGCTGCAGATGTCGTGGTGCTGTCTAGGTTTCTAAGACAGAAGACATGCCTGATCCACCCCCATTTTTTGAAACGCAAAGTCCAGAACTTACCCAGAAACACACAAGTGCCTTATAGCCAGAACCTATGCCAGGGATGAGGAGCCTGGGGCCCATGGACTGCTGTTGGACTACCACTCCCATCATTCCTGACTGTGGCGATCACACAGGGCCCCCGGACGTTTGACAGTCTATTGACCCTGTGCCGCCACTGTGATTGCTTTTTTCGCTGCCACCAACCTGTTTCTCCTCACGGGTACACACGGAGTCCAGTCAGTTGGTATCATTAACAAATAATCAAGTTTATTTATAGGCCTGAACAAGCTTATGGTTTCAGTTAATTTTTCTTAGCAGTTTCTTAAACCTAGTTCCGTAACTGTTCTATGCGTTCCTAACAACTTCAAACTGATTTTTCCAACTATCTATCTGACTCCACCTAACAATTCCTCACACTCCCTCACCTCACAACTCGACCAACCCACAGACTTAACCTCCCTCTTCCTTCTTCAACTCCCAACTCTGAACTGACTTTCACACAACTCCCCCTCTATCCCTAACTCCTCCTATCAGTTTCCACTGGCCAATCACGTCACACTCATTTTAACCCTTTCCCTATGACCCACCTAGGAGGCAAACGCCACACTGACCATTGGCCATGCTGGCTGAGGCTGATGGGAATTGGAGTCCAACAACATTTGGAGGGACACAAATGTTCCAGCCCTGCCTTTTGCGGACCTTATAGCTAAAACATAAAGCAAATGTTTTGTGCAGTTCCTTATCTTTCCATATTCCCTACAGCACTCACTTCTTTGTGTAACAGCCCACCTGGCGAAGGGTTCCAGAAAACTCAAAAGCTTCCTTTGTATTTTATGACAAGTTTTCTGGTTCTAATTGTAGGGATAGCTCGACTCTGGATTTGGATTTGCTTTTCCCCTTGTGGACCAATGGGGATTCCTTGGTTTTTAATAAGCATTTTTAAGTATCATTCATCACTTCAGAAAGAAAAATTAAGTCCAGACATAAAATAAAAAAATACATTTCCTGCATTTTCAATGAATGCTTGCTATGAAGCATTCTGTTTCTGAATATACAAGCACTGCAGGATCTCTGCAATCGCTCATCTGAAATATATTATTTGGAAGCTATTTGAGTGCAGTCAAGATGAAGATGAGACGGTCATTTTAAGCAGAGCTTCCACTGTAGCAAAAATCTCATTTTCTCTCCAGGTGAAGATAGACAGGTGGGCTAGTCTATGCTAATTTGCAGTTAAATTCAAAGACACTGCTCTAGGATTCATTCGAATAGATGCTTAGTTCTAAATATAGGAGTTGAAATCATAGTAGCAACTCACAGGATTAAAATTTTGGCAAAATTTGAGAGTAAGTGACATAAAACTTTTCAACTGATTTTTTTTTTTAATCTCATACAATCAGACTGTAACTTTTTACATAGTCCAATATCTGGCCATGTATGGGTTTTACTCATTGGAAAAATGTTTATAGTAGGGGTTCAGTTTTGATCTGGGTTCAGTGCTTCAGAACAGAAGATTCGGTCTGAAGCACTTGGAGGCTATGCAATTTGGCTCAGGGTCCAAATTCATTTCAGAAAGAATTGAACTTTGCTTTTCTACACTCACTATTATGGGGAATAAAAAATGACTATAACGTTTCCCCCTTTTAGCAGAAGCAAATGGCATTTTCAGGCAGGCTAACCTCTCCAGAGTGGATTAAGCCTGCCAAATCACAGGCGAATACATGTAGAGTTTATTAGTAGGGAATATTAGCTTAAGGAATTGTCTCTAACTTAGGGAGCAGAAGTGGATGAAATTTGCAGCCATTGCCCCTTCTGTTGTCACTAATCTTGCTAATTTTTCAGAAGGATAGCTCCAGTGGTTTCCCCTCAAACGCAGCCCTTACATTTCCACGAGTGGTAGCTTGAAAAGTGTGTGTGTGTGTGTGTGTGTGTGTGTGTTCCGTTGGGCAAGCAGAAATACTTGCACGGGTGGAACAATCTGCTTTGTGCTGTGTTGAATTCCAACCCATGTGTTTTGTGTACAACTGATATCTAAATAGCAGGAGTGAGAGAAGTTTCCCTGGGTAAGAAATCTGCCCAATTGCAGGCAAATTGCTCCTGCCTGCAACTGAGCTGGTAGGTGTGCATTTGTTGGGGGAAGAACTTAAATGGCTGGTGCTGCTGGTTTCACTGCCAATACCACTGCTGCCATTGCCACTGCCAGATCCATGCCCTTTCTTCCTGGAGTTCACTGCCCACGACATGCATGAATAGTGTAAGCTCTTTGAAAATGCATGAATAGCGTAAGCTCATTTTTCCTTGGGAAAATCATGATGGTTATAGTTAGTGATTGTTAGATAAGGGAGACATTTCATTATTTGAGGAAATAAAGAAACTTTATTATAATGCATCTTTCTTTTATCTATCTGTCCTACGTATTATATAGTATCGTTTTATCACGTTGAAAGCTAGGCCTTGACATTTCACTATTGCTACAGGGAAGGAACATTTTACTCTCATTTAGGTGCCAGGACCATTATTATTGCATTCGTGACATGGATTTGTATAATCTTTATAATGATTTATAATGCTGTGATGATTTATCATATTTTAATGATTTGGAGTTGTCTCTAGATGTGCATCTAAAATATTTAAAACTTCTAGAGACTTAGCAAGCACAGCATGAACTGCAAGCAAAAGCTGGTTGGGTCGAACCAGATTAATTACCCAGATTAATTACTTGTTCCTGTTAACTGGAATTCCTCACAAGATGGTGTTAGGTTAAAATTCCCAGGTGTGTCCATCTAAACTACTGACACTGGGTGATTACACAGAAGCAGTGTGGTTATCATTCATGACTCAACTGGAAAGGCTACGTGATCCCACTCATACTGCTTTCTTCTCTCCCTTTGCTTTGCATATTTCATTCAGCTATATGGTACTGCAGGAGGAGCTGGGTCTCAATATTGTAGCTTTCTGAGTAACTGCATCCATGCTGACTCTAATTTTATTTTCTTTTATTTAAAAAAGGCTGGTTGGCAAAGAACAATTGACTCAGAATCGGATGCCACAGTTCAATAGAGTCACTGTGGCGTAGTTCTTAGCGTGTTGGACTAGAAGTGCAGAGACCTGGGTTCAAATCCCCATGCAACCACTAAACTCACAAGATGACCTGGGGCCAGTCACTCTTTCCAAACCTATCCCACTTCACAGGATTGTTGTGGGAATAAAATTGGGGGGAAGGGGGCTATGTATGCCACTTGAGTTCCTTGGATATGGGGGATATGAATAAAATGACTGACTGAATGAATCATTTAGCAAAAGCTGCTATATTCAGAATATTTTTTTTTTAGTATGTGTTTCCTTAAATGGATGGGCCACCAGAGGACTTTAGACCTCTGTTCCAGAGTTTATTTCTGGGCTCAGTTCTAAAAAGGCACACGGTATCCAGTTCTCCTTGGACCCGGGCTGCAAAAGTACCGCTCCGATCGCGCAGTCGGACGCGTCCGTCTCCAGTCTCATGGGCTTCTCCGGATCCACGTGCAGGAGCTGCTCTTCAGAGGCGAATGCCTTCTTCAGTTTTTCAAAAGCTTGCTGTGCATCCTCTGTCCATGCGAACTTCTTTTTGCTACTAAGACAATCCGTTATGGGCGCTGTCAAGTGAGCGATGTTCTTTATGAACTTCCTGTAGAAGTTGCTGAAGCCTAGGAACCTCTGCACATCCTTTCTGTTTTTTGGGGGCCTTCCATTCCAGCACTGCCTTCACCTTGCCCGGATCCATGGCCAGTCCTTTGTCTGACAACCTGTACCCCAGGAACTCGACCTCCCTGGCGTGGAATTGGCATTTTTCCAGCTTGACCCACAACTGATGCTTCTTCAATCTCTGTAGCACCTCCCTGACGTCTCTGACGTGTTGCGTTTCATTGTCCGAATAGATTAAGATGTCATCCAAAAAGGCTACGCAATTCTTGTATAGCAGGGACCCCAACACATGGTGCATGAAGGCTTGAAAGCAGGCGGACCCCGATTGTAATCCAAATGGCATGACTAAGTACTCAAAAGCTCCCCGGGGGGTGAACATGGTCGTTTTCCATTCGTCCCCCTCCCTTATCCTAATCAGATTGTATGCCCCCCTGAGGTCCAGCTTGGTAAAAATCTTCCCCTGCCTCACACGTGTCAAAATATCGTCAATCCTGGGCATTGGGAAAGTCACGGGTTCTGACACCATGTTTACGGCCCTGTAATCCACGACTAATCTGGGCTGATTAGTCTCTTTTTTGTCCACAAAGAACACTGGACTGCCCCCCACCGCCTTTGATTCCCTTATGAAACCTCTCTTCAGGTTCTTGTCAATAAACTGCCGCAACTCCTGCATCTCCCAGTCGGACATGGCATACAGCTTACCCACCGGTAACTGAGACCCTGGAAGCAGGTTGATTTGACAGTCAAATGGCCTGTGGGGGAGCAGTCTGTCTGCCTCCCTCTCGCTGAAGACCTCCTTCAAATCAGGATATTGTGGTGGCACCTCCCCTTTTTCCTCCAGGACCACCCCAGCCACCCTGGCCATAGTCATTCTTGATTCCTTCCCTCCCAGACAGTGTTCTCAGCAGTAAGCTGACCCAAAGGTGAGCGACCGCTGATGCCATGACACCACTGGGTCATGTATTGCCAGCCAGCTCATTCCCAGTATTATTGAGGGTCCTGCCAGAGTGGCCACGTGAAAGGCAATGATTTTCGTGTGCCTGGAAACACTCATTCGCATTGGCGGTGTCTGGTGTGTCACTTCCCCTCCCAGTAGTTCCCTGCCATCGATGGTGGTCACCTGCAAGGGAAAATCTAGTGGCAACAGGTGGAGCTGGTGCTCCAGAGCGAAGTCTCTGCTGAAGAAATTACACGAGCTGCCAGAATCCAGCAGCCCTTCCACTTTGACTGGGTGCCCATTTGGGAGTTCTAGCACCACTTCTATGGCTATAGCTGCCTTGGGAGGGTCAGGCTGGGGCACTTCTATTGGTTGCCGACCTGGCTGCTGCCCCTGCTGGTTGGCAGCCAGGCTTTGTCGTTTCCCTGCACCGGCCCTTCCTCCCCCTTCTCGTCGTGGCCTGCAGCCCCATCATGCCTTGCCAGGCCTTTCGTTGAGGACACACCTTTGCAAAATGTCCTGGCCGCTGACAGAGGAAACACTTCTTGGTAGTTTTCCACTTCTTTCCCTCCCTTTTCCGGCCTTCACTAGCGTTTGAAACTTCGCGAGCGCGCTCCATCAATTTCCATTGGCTCGGCCGCCTGGGAAGGCTCCCTCAGCATTTCAGGAATGCGGTTGCCATGGAAACGTTCCGCCCTTATCTCCCGCTTCTCCTGAGCCCGCGCTTCCTGGCGTACACCGATCGCAAGCACAGTCTTGGTGAGTTCATCCATCGACCGCGGGCGGGGCGCTCTGGACAACTCGTCTTTCACTTTGGGGTCCAAACCCGCTTCAAACAACATTTGTAGTGGTTCAGAGTCCAGATCCCACCCGAGCTTGTGGATTAACATCGCAAAACGCGACGAGTAGTTTCTGACAGACAGGCTCCCCTGCTTGCACCCCATCAGCTCCCTCCGTGTCACGCTTTGCTCAACCTCGCTGGAGAACATCGCGTCCATTGCCTGGTATAATTTCTTAAGATCTTTCAATGCATGATTCCCCGTTGCCATTAAGGGCCTGATCCATTCGCGCGCCCCATCCTGCAGATGTCCAACAATGTAAGCCACCCTCTCCCCGTCATCAGCAAAGTCATTTTTCTGCAATTCCAAAGCGTATTGAATTTCCGTTCGGAAAGCATTGTAGTCTTGGGGCTTTCCACCAAACTTGTTTACCAGCCCCGGGACCTTCCTCCCTATCGGGGTGGCTCTGACCTGTGCATCCTGAGCCCGCCTCTCCTCCAGCCATGCAGACAGGGTAGCGACATGTGCCTCCAGGTCTCGGTTCCTCTCGACCAGACCTCGCACCATGGCTTCTTGCTCTGTCTCTCCAGCCGGCCCTGTTTGGCTCATCGTGCTGCCTCTCCGGGGCTGCGCACAAGCAACGTCAGAGACTGACGGATTGCTGTAATGGTTCTAGGGGTTGCTCGTGCGTAAGCCGGTGCTTATCTCCCTGGCTGGGTGCAAACACCTGGCTGGGTTGCCTAAGTGAACCTTTTCTGTCCGGACAGCCACTCACCCGTGGCTGACTCAATCGCTGGCAGAATCCGTCAGTGGGCATTTCTTAAACTTATTCCAGCAAAGAAGCTCTTTGGCGCCTAGTCTCCTCCTACTCTCTCTGCGCGAAAGCCTTCTGCGCAAGGAGGGCGTGGGCAACGGAGGACCCCTACTCTCCCCGCTGGTCCCAGGCAAGGAGTCATGGGACCGCCTCGCCACTTCCCCCATCTGCCCCCCTTCTCCACTGGTGCTACGCTGATTCTCTTTCCCAGAAGATGGGCTGCTTCTCCCAATCCCTGGACGCTCTCTGGAATCCCTCTGGCTTTTGCTCTCGCCCTCCGGCACTGATGGCAGTTCCCTGACATAACGTTACTTGCTTCATGGACTTAGGGTTGTTAAAATAAATCAAAAACAATAAATATATTTTCATTAGCTACTGTAATAATTCATAATCCTCTGCAGTTGGGAAGGCTGAAGTCAGCGATGAATTAGCTCAGGTCCCTGCTCAACCATAACCCTATCCATTTGCTCTTTGAATATAGAGTTACGCTCCTCTTATTCCTTGTAAATTGCTGCATAGGGATGCATTTTTCTGATTTGCAATGAGCTCTTCAGTAGTCCCATAAAAGTGGGATAATGCATGTGCCCTATTCTTACAAACAAATTTAAATTACTCAGTTTCAGAAGGTTGGGGGCGGGGAATGATTCCATTCCCATGTGGCACCACTGTAAAATTTTATGGCCAAACTGCGGGAGGCAGTGGAAAACAGGAGTGCCTGGCGTGCTCTGGTCCGTGGGGTCACGAAGAGTCAGACATGACTAAACAACAGCAAAACAATTGTGTATCTGTATAGGGTACTTGTGGTGCTCCAAATGTTGTTCAACCACAACTCTGACCATTGGGTGTGGTGGCTGGGGCTGGTGGGAGTTAGAATCCAACAACATCTGGGGGGTTTCAGGTTCCTCATCCCAAATTTGGATGCATAAAATATACCCCTGTTGGATGAGATCAAAGGTGCATCTAGACCAGATTTCTCTTTTCAACAGTAACCAGCTAGATGCTTCCAGAAATCCACAAGCAGGCCATGGAGGAAGCACTCCCACCCCCAGTTGCCTCCCACCCCCAGTAACTGGAATTCAGAGGCTTCTTGCCTTGGAACAGGAAGGTCTGGTTAAGCATATGATAGCCCTTTTCTCCATTAATTTGTCTAATCCTCCTCTAAAGCCATAAAACAGTGGCCAGTGCCCCACATTGTGGCTGTGAATGCCATACATTTTAATATCATGGAATAATAAAAGAAGAAGTAGTATTCAAGGCAGCATATGGTCTTGCAGAATAAAACAACAAGACTTAAAAAAAAATCTGGAAGAATGTTTTACCTTTATAGTAGCTTCAAGATTATTCCTAATTGCTGTTATTAAAGCTTGTATTTCTGCAGAAAATGCAGATAATCATTGTGATGAATAAAATCACTATGTAGCCTGTGGGTTTTTTATTTTATTAAAAAGATTAGGTAAAGACAATGTCAGAATCCTTTGTATTAGCTATAAGAGCTGTTGTTTAGACTAGGGCTCCTTTGTCTGCCATGAATATTTTACATTTAAATTAGAAATCTGCAAAGTTGAGGTGGAGGGATTACTGTGTATGAGAGATGAATAAGGAGCCGCATTATAGCCTTTGCAGTAAGGAGGATAAGTACCACAGTTCATCTGACATAAGAGATGGATTACAGTGAATCTGAAGTGGAAGAAGGTTTATTTAGGAATTATTAGCAATGGTTTGCATTTATGTAATCTATTAGTATAACACAAGGAGAGTTATGTGATCCAGCAGAAGGGGGAGTTTACTTCTAGATTTATCAGAGAGATTTCCTATTTACAATGCAGCTCAGAACCTAATATATGCAAGGCACATGCTATTTCCATCTCCTTTTTTTGAAAAAACGAAACAAAAGAATTCAACATGGGAGAGAAACAAAATTGCA